TGATCCAATGGCCGAGATCATAATCCTGTGACTGGATGGTGTCAGCCTGTGCTTAAGGAGGGCCTATTAGCATTTTAGCCAAATCTATTGGGAGGATTACCATTTTTGCATCTGTTTCATGGTTAAAAGTGTCACCATTTCTATTAACAGTTTTGCAAGGTTAAGAAAAATGCGTGGTGATGTTTATAGATTCAAATTTTTGTCTTCTCTCAGTGCCACTACAGGGATGGCGGCTGAAAGCTGGCTGGCAATGATGGACCGGTTCTTAACTCTGGGATGCGGAAGTACATTTGAAGCCGAAAAGCGTGAGCTGAGGAAGAATATCCTGCAAGTGATCGACATATACTATGATGCCCTGGATGCACCGAAAAGTGGAGCTAAGGTTAGTACATTGTTCATTGATGGAAGGTAGCTTGTGGATTTTTCTTAAATTATTATCTCATGTGACTGTTTACAATTCCTTGCATTTCTCTTTATGCGGACTTCAACTCGTCTTCACTCACTTGGGTTTATCCACTCCACTGAGTCTCTTCTTACTGTAGCTCTCGCGATGATAGCTACTGAAAACTCGGAGGTCTATGTATGGAGTTTTGCATCAGCAGTTCCTTATTTTCTTTCAGGTCGTACTTCCACCAGAGTTGACAGTGGACTTGTTCCCGAACTTCATGGAAAAGGGTGAAGATAAGTCTTACAAGTCTACGTCCATCCTGGGACTAATATACGATGAAGTGACGAAGTTCGAAGATAGGGATGATGTGCCAGTTAGCGGTAATAAGCCTCTACTATATTCCTCTAAGCACTGCCAAGCTATAACTTAATCATGTTTCATTGCATGAAACTTCTTTTGGTCAATGGTGTGTGTAGAAATCGTGAAGCTTTCATGCTTTGCGGAAGAAGCTCCGCGAGAACTCCTCGAGGAGTGGAAGATGCTCTACAATGAATACAGGCAAGATATGCAAATCAGTTTACAGAATGAAGCTGACAAAAACGCGGCTGCTGATGAAGTCATCGAGAAATACAAACGGGTGAGGCGATCTTGGTTCCACATTTAGATCAACGATCTCTAGAGTCTAGATTACCCTCTATGTTCAAGTTCATGGACTACTGACAGCCCCTAATCTCACTTCCATCATCTTTAACTTCAGATCTTCTACGGCCAAACGAGGAACTACTATTCGAGCGAGACTGGGGACGTCTATACAAATCGAAAGAAGGAAGTTTCGCCGGTCATCGAGGCTGTGGACTTCCATACGACCAAAAAGAAGAAGGAACATCTGTTCCTCGAGGCTCGAGCGTTATATCAGGTTGTTTACGATTACGCAGAGTCGCAGAGACGCAAGGCAAGTAGCATCAAGGAACAGCAGTCCTCCATCAGGTTATGTGGGTTTGCATGGAGGGTTGCAGGCACAGCTCTGTGTGCATTGTGCATATCGAGTCGCGCTGAGAAGCCCATGCTGTGCTCGGAGTCTGCTTTCAAGGAAATGTTTGGAAGAACTTGAAAAGATCTCTTGCCAAGTAAGTATGCTATAACCTATAACCTAAATGTATAGGCTTTTGTGTTTGTAATGCCTGTATTTTGATGTATTGTAATGGCAGCAGGATGTAGAACTGCTGTAGGAGTAGGGTATTTTGTGGCTTAGTAAACTGATGATGTGTCTAAGCTCTAATGACGTCGAATAGCGGTCTGACTACTGAATTCATGTAAGAACACTGTGGAAGAAGAATTCATGTAATGTTAGAATACCGTATGTGGTTTGTAGATGTGAGTCTACATACTATTCTTGTTTCTAGTTAGGTGCTATTTAAGTTATTGGAACCTCCCGCTGCAAGTAAGGGTGTGCAACGGTTCGGTCCGATCTCGATCGGAATAACTTATGAGAACAGCAGTCAATTAGTAAAATATATTTTAAGATCAAGGACTGGAAACCATCATTGCATTCGGTCCATTTAGTTCGGTTCAAATATTAATTCGGTTCATTTTTTTCTTCTTCTGTAATTATAAAGTTTGTAGAATCAAAGACTAGACTGCATTATACTTGATTCAGTACAATCATGTCAAACACTGATTTGATCCGGTGCGATATAATACGAACTAGACCATTGCACACCTCAAACTGCAATACTAGTACGTTAGTACTATTACCGCTGGTTGGCTTTGTCTTGTTTGTCGGAGGGCAACTAGTCTTAATTCGTATCACTTTTTCTTCGTTTTCCACGGTTTTACTTGGTAAAAAGTTGATTAGGGAAGCCAAAAGTACCCCAAGTGGGTGCCCTAGTCTGTTCATTACATCATGGATGTCTCAATCCTTAACCTGTGCCTAATTGTGCATTTCTACTGCTGATTACTACTTTACCTTGTGAAAATGGGAACGTTCTAATTGCTTTCGTTTTTAATCAGTCCCCTAACAAATATTATAACAGAGAAAGGAACAAACCCAATAAACATCAATCAATTTATCCACCACTTTCTTCCTATTCCTAAATCCTGATTGAGGATAAGAATTCTTAGAAATGAATATCGCTTTCTTTATTCCTATCCCAGTCCCAGCCATTTAAAACAGGGGGAAAAAGGGACATAAAGGACAGCTAACCAACTGGCCACTTCATTAGTGTTTTAGCCGCCGGGCAATGCTCTCATTATAGTGCTTGGACACAAAGAGTATAGTATTTGATCAATGATGTAGGCCATCTTTGTTCGAACTCGATCGATGTAATTTCAGTCGTTAGATGTATGTTGATGATTGGTAAATGTGACATTCCACCCATAGCACAACACTATATTTTTCTTTTTTTGAAAAAAATATTAATTTGGATGAGTAATTAATATATCCGCGAACAAGATTGAATAAAATTTGAGGAATGAATGACATGCAAACCTAACAATGTTGGATGCGCATGATGGCCGATGGGTAAGGAAATCAGAAACGTAATTTTACACCCTCAATCGAAAGATAAATCTAATGAATAATAACTGTGACATAAATGTAATCTAAATACGGATTCCGATCAGCTCAACTCTATTGTCTATTCACCAAGGTTGTCAACCCGCGGGTTGACCCGGACTCGATCGAGGTAGTGGGTCAAGGGTTAATGGGTCAACCATTTTAGCTCGGTTTGGTCCGAAAATATGGAAAGAGTCATTATATTGTACTTATCCTCATAAACTATATCAAATCTTATCCAACATATGAGTTATAACATATAATATTATACCAAAATAACATATCGTACTTAGATCCAACATATAGTGAAAATTCACACATACTTATATAATATCAATATTCAAATATTCAACTTAGGATTCCAAATATTGAGTTAGGCGAAAAGAAAAATAGGAAAATAGGCGCACTTCGCAAACCAAAGAAAAAAATAACACAATTTGACCTCCAACTCAGTACCTTGTAGCGGTCGACCCGGCGGGTGCGTGCGGCCCATTTTTCTCACCGGGTCAGGATCAAAGTGAATCGACCCGCAAGTTGACAACCTTGCTTATTCACAATTCCACTTCCATAAAAAAATGATTAAAAAAAAAAGAATCCCGTTATTTAATTAAAGAAAAATAGAGAAATCCCATTATGTGGAGCCTCCGGCCTCGCACATGCAGCCCACCGGAGGCGGCGCTTCGTCCCTCCTTCCATTTCCGTCCGCGTCAAATAAAATAAAATCAACGGCGAAAAAAGCAAACAAAACAAAAGCTATTTATATTCCCGTCGTGGTTGACGACTTGACGTTTGACCAACGCGGCAGCACCGGCGACGACCGAGTCATTCTCCCCGGCGGCCGCCAACTCCCCGGTTCCCCCAACACACTGCCGATCCGTTTCCCATAACGTAGTCGTCTCGCATTCACAAAGCCAAAAGGTGGTCTTTACGTTATAGTTTAAAACTTCCTTTTGAACAGTCGGTCAATTCTCGTAACGCTAACGTATGAAGGACATGTTCATGATCTTCGTATGTACAAGATCCGTGAATATAAGTTTTAATTAATAGATCCGAACCTGAAACTTTCAAATTCAAGACTAAACCAAACCATTTTTCGTATAATGTTTGTGCCATCAAAATTGCGTCTAAAAATGTTATTTTGCTCCTTTAAAAGTTTAGCCATCGCACATCAGCAACGTTTCACTGATAGACTGCCTACATGCTTTTGATCTGTAAGTCTGTAACTCTTTTTTTTTAAGTACCTCCTTAACCTTCATTTTGGGTCTCCAGGTCAACATTTAAAATGTGTTCATTTCTGTTTTTATAATATACCAGCGGATCAAGTTGGAGATTTTAAAGTTCTACTGTGGTAAATATTGTATACAATTTCTAGTACGTACGACTTTCACATAATTCGAATTTTAGATCGAGGTCACAATATTTCAATTCCCACTAATCATGTAAATTATTATTTAATATGATTAGTTTAATAAATCATCATTCCAAAGATCCAATTCTTTATTTGGTGCTTTTTTTTGGATAGCTCCCGACAACCTAGATCACGACTATCCTTTCGCCAGCTCGATTCTCATCCAAACCTCACATATCGTATTCGTATGTTTGAGTCTTGGTAACATATATACTTTTTCTTTCTAGAATAATGTAATCGTAGATAGATAGATTATGCAAAAGAAATGTTCGAGTTACACTGTCAAAATACTATTATATGCTGTTTGATCAACTGGTTCACGACATTGCCACGTACAAGAGCGGATCGTTATTTAGACGTAGCCGTTGTCGTAAATCGCTAGAAAAAAGAAAAAAAAGAGGTTAAAATCTAAGTTTCATTCCGGATGAGTGTTCATAAGAAACCTGAAAAAGCATCGGGTGCAAAAACTGTAAGCTGCAATTGAAAGAGTCTACGCAGTGATATTTTACACAATAGAAAAAGAGAGAGAGGGAAAGAAGGGTCAAATTCGTGGAACCAAGTTGTTGGGTTTTCAAATTGACAATGACAGCAGGACATTTCTTTCTTTTCCCCTTTTGAATAATCTGCTTTCCAATAATGCCGCGGGTGGGAGACTGGGGGAGCTTGTGCTTATAAAAAACCCCAACCCGTCTGCATGATTTCTTCCATCCAATCCCATTCCGTTCGTCTTTGTCAAAAGAAAAAAATCCCATTCCGTTCGTCAAACAACTTCTTCCTTTCCTGACTTGCTCTTTGACTCTTCCAACCTCCGATATCACCACCACCTCCGTCAATCGTTTTCCGCTGCATCAAAATGGAGAGCACAATGAACGAGCTCGGCAACGCCGCCTCCGTCCTCGACATCGACCCCAAGACCGCCGTCGGCGGCGGCGTTGAGGACGTCTACGGCGAGGACTTCGCCACCGAGGACCAGCTCATCACTCCCTGGACTGTCTCTGTCGCCAGGTTAGTTACTCCTTAGCCACTCTTTCTCTCAAGCTTAACTTCGCTTAGCCCTGCTTTCCCCCGCTGTGAGATTGAGCTTCCTGCTTGCTCTCTTTTGATTCCCTTTGTTCCTGCAAGTTCGGGCTGATCGCCGGTTAGGTTACTGATCTGAAATATAGCCGGCTTTTGCTCCCTGCAAGTTGACGATCAGCTGTCGATCTCTGTTTTTTTGCGCTTTCTTTTCGCGAATCGGAGTATCGGCTCGTTAGTCGTTACTGAACCGGAGATTTCATTTCTTTCTCGCATATACGCAAATTTGAATTCCTACGTTGATTTCGGGAACACCTTTGATCTGTGATCTCACAGCATGAAAATGGAGTCCAATTAAGTTCTGTGGCGTGGTTCTGGAGATTGTGTGGTTACTGAATTTTTTGTTGTTTGGATTTGTTTGATTTTTGCAGTGGATACTCACTGCTGAGAGATCCTCGCCATAACAAGGGGCTGGCCTTCACCGAGAAGGAGAGAGATGCTCACTACTTGTCCGGCCTTCTGCCGCCGGTGGTTCTGTCGCAGCAGCTTCAGGAGAAGAAACTGATGAACTCGATTCGACAGTACCAGCTGCCGATCCAGAAGTACATGGCTATGATGGAACTCGAGGTAGCTTTTTTTTTCTTGGTTGTTCTATTCCCTGTAGTGTGGCTTCAAATTGAAATACGCTGATAAGGATTGGTATGCGCGATTAACAGGAGAGGAACGAAAGGCTGTTCTATAAGCTTTTGATCGACAATGTGGAGGAATTGCTTCCGGTTGTCTACACTCCCACAGTCGGGGAAGCTTGCCAGAAGTACGGCAGCATTTTCAGGCGCCCTCAGGGTTTATACATCAGCTTGAAAGAGAAGTATGGACATTATGATCCATTTGTGTGAATTAAGTGATATGGTTATGCTAGTTGAATCTTTATGTTCCTTAACGAAAATGTGATTGATTGGCTTGTTCAGGGGGAGAGTTCTTGATGTGTTGAAGAACTGGCCTGAGAGGAGCATTCAAGTCATTGTCGTGACTGATGGTGAAAGGATTCTGGGGCTCGGAGATCTTGGATGTCAGGTTAGTTTCAGTACTGAGAATTAGCAAGTTGGAGCACATAAAAAGCGTTTTGTTTAATTTGCTTCGTATGCAAGTGAAATCTGATGAATGGTGAACTTTGTAACAGGGGATGGGTATTCCTGTTGGAAAATTGTCTCTTTACACCGCGCTTGGAGGAATTCGCCCTTCTGCAGTAAGAATTTTTCAGAAATTATACCCTAGTTATGGTTGATTGGAGCTGTGTTATTGTAAACACAAATGTACTATACTTCTTTGGTAGCTAATTGAGAATGTTTATTGTTTGTAGTGTTTACCTATTACCATTGATGTTGGAACAAACAATGAGAAATTGCTGAATGATGAATTCTACATTGGACTTAAACAGAGGAGGGCTACTGGCCAGGTACAGTCCACTCCCTTGATTAGAATTCAGGTCTGGAGTTTCTTGGCTATCGATTAGCTAATGCCTCTGTGTAACTCTTGCTTTCAGGAATATTCTGAACTTCTTCATGAGTTCATGTCAGCCGTAAAGCAGTGCTACGGAGAAAAAGTTCTTATTCAGGTTTGTAACCATACCTTATTCGAAAATTGTCAGTCCAAATTTCTTATATATTTCCCTTGATGTATGCTAAATATCTGCAACATTCTTCAGTTTGAAGATTTTGCCAACCACAACGCTTTCGAACTGCTTGCAAAGTACAGGACAAGTCACCTTGTCTTCAATGATGATATCCAGGTTTGGCTTCTCCCAACAACTTTTCGGTTAATTTAGTCTTGTCTTTACATTTTCTTATGCTGCAGCTTAACATGTTACCTCCTGATTGTTGCAGGGGACAGCCTCTGTGGTTCTTTCTGGAGTTGTTTCAGCATTGAAGGTGCTTGGTGGCTCCCTCGCTGATCACAAGTTCCTCTTCCTGGGTGCCGGAGAAGTAAGATTAATCAATGATTCTGAGAACCGGCATGCTTTTTATCTGTCCTAACCAGAAGTGCTTACCTGTTTTTACATTGTAATTTTGCAGGCTGGAACCGGCATAGCCGAGCTTATAGCTCTCGAGATGTCAAAGCGAGTATGTCACTACTGTTTATACCTTCCCGTGGTCTCTTTTTTGGTTATTATGCTATCTAACATTGCACTAGTGACGTTTCACTCACTGGGATAATTGTGCCCTTTTCCAGACAAATACTCCTTTGGAAGAGTGCCGCAAAAGGATCTACTTGGTGGACTCAAAGGTGAGTTGGGAAATGCCAACTCTCAAGATTGCCTGCAACTTAATCAATCAGCAAACTGAGAATTTAGCTTAATCCAAATCCACTCTCTTTTTTCCTGACAGGGTTTAATCGTGAAATCCCGCTTCGAATCACTTCAACACTTCAAGCAGCCATGGGCACACGATCATGAGCCTGTCAAGACACTCTTGGAAGCTGTCAACGTATGAAAACGAATATCTTCGGTTGAGAAAAAATCAGTTCAACTTTTTCATCCTTTTCCAGCAATTCTCAGATTTTATTTTCTGATTATCCAGGCACTCAAACCAACGGTTCTGATCGGAGCATCAGGAATGGGCAAAACATTCACAAAGGAAGTCGTTGAAGCCATGTCTTCCTTCAATGAGGTATTTTGCTCTCTCATATTAGACTGCCTGTTGAATCTGCAACAATGTGATCAATCAACCAGTACAAAATCCTTGACTGCTTCCATTTTGAACCATGTGCAGAGACCTCTCATCATGGCTCTCTCCAACCCAACTTCACAAGCCGAGTGTACTGCCGAAGAAGCATACTCCTGGAGTAAGGTAAACAAATTATTAAAAAAGAAGCAACACAGGAAGTCATTACAGTTCTGCATCTTTATTCAGCATGAAAACTAACGTGCCTTCATGTTACTTTAACAGGGCAAAGCCATTTTCGCTAGCGGGAGTCCATTCGATCCCGTCGAATACGAGGGCAAAGTTTTCGTCCCCGGCCAGGTTAGTTTACTACTTCCTTAGTTCTGTTCTTGATATTTCATAAAATCATCCAAAGTACTGAGATGACGTTCTTCTTTCTGTCGTGAACGTTCAGGGCAACAACGCATACATCTTCCCCGGATTCGGGCTGGGAGTTGTCATGTCTGGCGCCATTCGCGTCCACGACGACATGCTCCTCGCAGCTTGTAAGTTGCTTGATACCTCTAGCACACAAACATATGGTAGATGATGAGTCTTCCTATAACAAAAAAAAATACTGTTATGGTTTTGCTTATTCCTTTTTGTGTGGTTACAGCCGAGGCATTGGCAGAGCAAGTGACTGATGCCGAGTACGAGAAGGGGCTGATCTACCCGCCTTTCTCCAAGATCAGGAAGATCTCCGCCGAGATTGCTGCTAAGGTCGCCGCCAAGGCTTATGAGCTTGGACTGGCCAGCAGGCTCCCCCGTCCGGCGAACCTGGTGAAGTACGCGGAGAGCTGCATGTACAGCCCCGTGTACAGGAACTACCGTTGAAACCAAGCTCGCTTAGTTTGGAAGCCATGAACGAAACCCTGCTCTGCTGCTGCTGCTTCTGCCTTCTGGAGCACGCAATAAAATAATAAAGAGTGAATTTCTTCTTGTTAGAAATAGGAAATTCTGTCTCCGTCTTTCTTTCTTTCTTTGGTTTTTGTTTCCTTGTTGTATCGATTGATCTTCCTTTAGTCATTGTGTATTAGGATTCGCTTGCTTTTTCTGTTGTCTGTATATTCAGAATGAGAGAAATCCAAACTTATGAGTGCGTTTTTTTCACCCCCACAATTACTGAAAGTCCGAGACCATATTCAAGCATCAAATTCTGCATAAACAAAGCTGAAATGATAGAACCAGCAAACCAACAAGATCGAAGCTTTTGAGCAGTGTTATTAAAGCCGAGCCGCTCGGCCCGACCGGTAAAACCGGCACTCGGTCATAAAACTGGCTCGAAATAGTTTAAAAGCCACTCCGATTTTATGTAGCGGTTGGCGAGCGGTCGAGGCAGTTAACCGTTCGAGCCGCTCGTCCGGTTTTTGCCATTCAGCCATTAAATTTAATTAAAAAAATTATAGAAAATTGAAAAGTGAAATAAACTAAAAACGTCGGGCTCTCAAATTGAATCTTTATTTCCATTTCACAATTTCGAAGGAAAGAGATGAGCTCTAATTAAGAAATGTCCACTATTTATACTGATAAAGTTTATTAGGTACGGGTTCTTTAACGGTTTTTAAACGGTCTAATGTTGGTTGGACCACTAAAGTGCGAACCGTTCGTATTACCGGGTCATGCTCCGGTTCGGTTATGATAACATTGCTTTTTGAGGGATTTTCTAGCAATGACCTCACATGCAGTCAAATATCGTCGGACGCATCATCTCGTCAATTTATCTTTCTCGACAATTTATCGCGGATTAAAAGGAATGCTGCTATCATGTTATCATCTTCTTTTTTTCTTCCAAGTTCTCTGTAACTCTTTTGACTACCAACTAGGACGATAAAATGGACAATTCACTACCCTCTGGTTCTGCCGCTGCGCTGCGTTTTGCTGCCTGGGGCCTCCCAAACCCTATAAAGTAAAAACCCTACCCAGGCCAGCGACCCGCCTCCTCTGCTCTTTTCGTTTTTTTCGAGACCCGCCGCGCCTGACCTCTCCAGCTCTCCTCTTCTGGTCTTCCTCTCCTTCTGCTGGCGGCGACGGCGACGGCGACGGCGACGACGAGCGCGCTTCCCCAGCCATCCCCGACTCTCGTCTCTCCCTTCCCTCGCCGACGCGCGACGCGACGCAGTCGCCAGCATTCCCAGCTCCCAGTCCTCCCCTCCGCGGCTCCGCCACATTCCGGCTTCCCCGCAATCTGGTTGGTTTCAAGTATTTTGTTGATTGATATTCTTATGAACAAGATCCTAAACCTAGGGTGCAGTTTTGGTGTGCCATGATTCTCTGGTCGTTCCAATGAAATCAATATATGTCTGTTTCGATGCCACGTTGGTTGAAATCCATTCTGCTTGTTGTTGCAGATTACATGGCTCAATACGATTTCAAGAAGATCACTGTCGTCCCAACTGGGAACGACTTGATCGACATCGTTCTCTCTCGCACTCAGCGCCAGACCCCTACGGTGATCCACAAGGGGAATGCAATTTCCCGCGTCCGCCAGTTCTACATGCGAAAGGTGAAGTTCACCGAAACCAACTTCACCGATAAGCTCTCGAAAACCATTGAGGACTTCCCTCGAGTAGAAGATATCCATCCCTTTTACGGCGACCTCCTCCACGTCCTCTACAACAAGGATCACTACAAACTCGCACTCGGGCAGCTCAACACAGCGAGAAATCTCATCAAGAGGATACGCGAAGACTATGTGAAGCTCTTGAAATATGGCGACTCGCTCTACCGGTGCAAGTCGTTGAAGCGTGCAGCACTTGGCCGAATGTGTACTGTGACCAAGCGCATTGGGCCGAGCTTGGCTTACCTCGAACATGTCAGGCAGCACATGGCGAGGCTTCCCTCGATCAACACGGGCGCTCCAACGATCTTGATTTGTGGGTGCCCCAATGTTGGGAAGAGCTCTTTCTTGAACAAGATCACCAGGGCTGATGTGGAGGTCCAGCCATATGCTTTCACCACGAAATCGCTCTTTGTGGGGCATACGGACTACAAGTACCTGAGGTATCAGGTGATCGATACACCGGGGCTCTTGGACAGGCCTCTTGAGGATAGGAACATCATCGAGATGTGCAGCGTTACAGCTCTCGTGAATCTCCATGCCGCTATCTTGTTCTTCTTGGACCTATCGGGCTCGTGTGGCTACAGCATCTCTCAACAAGCAGCATTATTCCACAGCATCAAGATGATGTTCAGGAACAACCCCGTGCTCATTGTCTGCAACAAAACAGATTTGCAGACCCTGGAAGGACTGAGTGGAGAAGACCTGAAGCTTGTCATGGAGATGAAATCCGCAGCACTGAAGACTATCCCTGGTCAAGGAGGTGAAGCTGCTAATGACCAGGATGTGCTCCTGACCATGAGCACGATAACCGACGAAGGCGTGATGGCAGTAAAGAATGCAGCTTGCCAGAGGCTGCTGGATCAGCGATCGGAGCGTAAGATGAAATCCAAGAAGATGCCTACCGTGTTGAATCGCTTCCATGTAGCAATGCCAAAGCCGCGTGACCAAAAGGAGAGGCCAGTCTGCATACCCCAAGCAGTTTTGGAAGCCAGAGCAGAAGAGGCAGCACACGAGGAGAGAAAAACCGAGAAGGATATCGAAAATGAGAATGGTGGTGCTGGTGTGTACTCTGCCAGCTTGAGGAAGCACTACATTCTAGCGGATGACGATTGGAAGCTGGACATATTGCCCGAGTTCCTCGATGGCCATAATGTGTATGATTTCATTGATCCGGATATCTTGCAGAGGGTTGAGGAGCTGGAACGTGAAGAATCAGCAGTAGAGGAAGATGGTGGTGACTTTGAGATCGAGGATGAAGATTTTACTGCCGAGGCTGAAAAAGACCTGCAAGAAATCAGGAAGAGGAAGAAGCTGTTGATCCAAAAGCATAGGATCAAGAAGAGCACTGCAGAAAGTCGGCCAACTGTGCCTAGGAAATTTGACAAGGACAGGAAGTTCACTACTGAGAGAATGGGAAGGCAGCTGTCAAGCTTGGGGATCGATCCTTCTCGTGCTATCGAACGTGCTAGGAGCAGGTCTGTCTCCAGGAAAGGAAGGAAGAGAGAGAGGTCTGTTGGTGGGGATGGTGAGGATGAAATGGAGATCGATGGTGGTTTGGATAACAAGAAGAAGCTGAGGCTGAGATCGAGGTCGATGTCGAGGTCAAGATCAGTGTTGTCTCAGCGGCCTCTTGGGGAGGTTGTACCTGGAGAAGGGTTCAAGGACTCTGCTCAGAAGATGAAAGCCGTTACAATGGCCAGGAATGCTACCAAGAAGAGGAACAAGGATGCTCGGCGTGGTGAGGCAGATAGAGTTATCCCGACGCTTAGACCGAAGCACCTGTTCTCTGGGAAGCGCTCCATCGGGAAAACAGATCGAAGATAATAGGCACATTTAGAGGTTTGCAGGCTGCACATTCTAGTTCCTACAATGTTTTCTTCTTCTATCTGGTTAGCTTTTATGTTGCTGTTTTCTTTTGACCGATGATATATGTGCATGGCTTTTCTTCTAATCTTGCAGGAAGGGTATGGATTCGGCTTGCTGTTTGAGTTTGACTATCATTTTGCTGCTGATTCTGGCCTGGCGTTATTAGGTGGTATAGAGGTGTGCTTATTCATTTTGTGTTCTCTTTTCTGCTGAGAAATTGTTCTGGGAGTGAGGCTCTATCTATTTAGATTAGACATGGTCCTGTTGGTATTACTTTAAAACTTTATGGGGAGCAGGGGAGATTTTGGGTTAACTATGTTCTCTGAATTAAAGAACTGTTCGTGGGTTATGTTATGAAGTCGTTCTTCTGTTCTTCTATTTTCTTAACTCTGGTATGCAAGTTGATCCTGACCAGTGCCCATCACTTTGGTGAAGTAAAGTGGAAAAAACAACGGGATTACTGGTAACACAATAAATTCGCCATTGTCATTATCTCTTCACCTTCTGGCCTCTGCAATCTCTGATTTGGTTCACAATCTTAACTTGAACACTTGAAGGCAATAACTTTCTATGTACACACTAAAACCATTCGAATGCAATCCCAAAACTCCTCAATATCTCTTCGATAATTACGTGCAAAGAAAGTAGGCAGGCGGATTGATACACTCGCTACTGCACCAAAACAAAGAAATGAAACAAGCTGTTCCTTATTCTTCACATGATCAGTTGAGTACCGAGTAGAGATACCGAGCAAACGAATTAACTATGAAGAGCCAGAGGATTGATTTGGGAAGCTTATGGTTCAGCTTTTAACTAAAGTGACTGCGTAGTATACACTTGTACAACAAGTAACATCATCTGGTAGGGCATGACTCGGGAGCTTCTTCTGCAGCCGAGCCTTGGCCTACAGGCAACAAACTTGCCTTTCTTATTCTCCAGTAAGATGAGAGGAATATGACTATACGAGGAGTGCTAGTTTCGTGGACAGAAAAGTAAGTCAGGTATGTTGTTGCTTCTGGTTATAAACGCTCAAATCGGCATGAGTATCCTTGTACCGTTGGCTCAGGTATGTGCTGCATGTGATTGGCGGAAACCTGCATATCATCATCAGTTTGGTTTTCACAGCGTTAGAAGAACGAAACCCATCTAGAGCAGGGCACAAGTTTAATCGATGGTTGAAACGATGAAAATCTTGCTATCTTCAGACTACCCTAAAATTGATCCATTAAGGGGATGCAGACATATCACTATCTACAGAGGAGGAACGGATTTTTGTCTTCCGTTATCAAACCCCTTGCGTTGTTTTGTCTTGTAGAAAGATGGAGTTGTTAACTTACTTGGGAGGATTCTTCTCTGATTTACATGTAGGCAAGCATTCGACTAGACAATCATGACTTGGTTCCGCAAAGTATGCAATCTGTAATCACAGTGACCATTTCATGAATTTATTTGGAAGAGCAGCCAGAATGTCAGAATGTTTTTCACATACCATCAACCAAATTGGGAAAAGGGAAAGAAAAAACACCGAAGTACAACATATAAAAAGAAGGCTTACGGAATATCTCTCCTGACCATTTCCTAGAACTCTATGTAATGTGGATCTGCAGAGCCAAAAATGGTTAACAAAGGGCGAAAAGTTACGATTAGAATGCATCAACAAGATAGTATAAGGAAGTTATGGACACCACTGGTTTGCTTCATGGATATACAAGCAATATACGGTAGAAATATGCTCTCCGTCAATTGATTGCCAAATCTATTTCAGTTTACACTCTACAGTTGTCACAGGGAATGGTATTGCGACTGACAAATTTGTAATGCAGCAAAGCCTGAGATACGAGAATTTACTTGAAAATGCAGTTGCTCCACCTCTCCAACATGTCACCAAGATTCACAACAAAAGCTCTGTTAAGCATGAAATGAAAATATATCAGTATCCTCAACCAACTGCAGATCCTACAATGTCATAATCAACCACAGGAGTAGGCTAGTCCAACAAACTATCAGCATCAATAAACAGACACGAACTCACCCTTGCATTGGTGCAACATATTCCCACACTTGAGGTTGAGCATCCTTATTCTTGCATATCTGCAGGAAGTTCAAATCAATACCGACTAACCTCACAAACCAGTTCGATTCACTGGTAAGGTATCTCAAATTAACTCGAATTCGTACTTGGAGTCCATAGACGTCATCTGTGGCTAGAAGGGTAATCAAACCATAGTCAGAATGGGCTCCAGCTCCATATAATCCCTTTGAGGGATCAGACACCTGACCTGGACCATCACGAGGCTAATTAAGTGACAAAATAACATAAAAAAAAAGGAAAGAAAAACTATTGAAGAATGTACGAATCATTTAAGTGATCATCCAATGGTGGGATCAACACAGCAATAAGTAGCCATAAACCTCATTACCTCCATAATGCAGCAGTCTCATTACTGCAATGGGGTGACCAAGCATCTCGGGTTTATCAAAGAAATCTGCTTCTAGATCAAGCGCAAGAGCTATGATTCTCGCAACTGCTCTTGCTACCTCTCTATATCGGCAAACGAAAAACAAAATACAGCATATGAGAATCATATAGTCAGGCCCAAAAGTTCATTCCAACGAGCAAGATCTTCAGAGAAATGACAAAACTTACAGAGCTTGCTGGTGGAACTTCTCCATTGTTTCTCTCCAACCGGGCAAAACCTCTATTGACAAGACACCAGTTTAAAATTCAAAGGGGGGAAACAAGAGGTAAACAATGGCAAGAACTTGGGTTGAAAAGAACCTGATGATGGCCAAACATTGGGCCCATAAAATGGTTTCTCTGCTTCAGGATCATCTTCAGGGACTTCTACTCCAATGTAATACCCTTCCTTATAATCTCCTACTAACAAATAATCCAAAACAGACATCATTTGCTTCCCCATCCTCAAATCATCATTCAAAACCGAATCTTTTTTCAGGAAAACAACAAATCGAAGAGAACAAAACAAAACAACAAACAGCCTACTAACCATGAACTTGATTCTCAGGATCCAATAGCTCGTCCAGCTCCGGAGTGTACCCTCGATGCTTCTCATTCCTCAACACCTTCATCTTCTCCTTGGCCGGCAATTCAAAGAACTTCTTGCTCTGAGCAAACACCTCCGCCATGAATTCCTGGCTTATCCCGTGATTCACCACGTAGAAAAACCCACAATCCAAGCACGCCTGTTTCAATTAAAAAAAAGAAAAACACACCCATTGAAGGATGAACAGAAACCCGAAAGAACCCAGAAAAGTCCCAACGCGATGCGGAAGAAGAAAGAAAAAAAACACACACAAAAAAGGAACCTGCTTGAGCAACGAAACCGAATTTTGAGTGTCCGGGCTGGAGAGATCGATGCAGTTCAACACGGAGAAGCGATTCTCGGCGGTAGGAGCGGCGGCGGCGGCGCCATTTCTTCCTTGGTGCTGCTGATTCTCCATGGATGTGGAAAAGTTTGCGTTTTTCCTCCGTTTTCTATTCGATTTCTATTTTGTGGCGACTTAATGAGAGCAGTCGTCGTTTAAATAGGGAAAATTCAGCGTCAGCAGTCAATAGATTCCTGACGTCGGTGTCGCTGCGCATAATAAAACAACAGCCATGGCAATTGGCATTCACCATAAATGAAAAGGGAAAGGATATGTACCTGAAATTTTGCAGTCTTTCCCAATTAAGGACAGTCTTCTCAGCTGGATTGTTCGATGCTTTGAGGACCATCCATGCTGGAAATTTGTATGTGTGGCTATGTTTGTTCTTGGAATTTCTCCTGGCTGTGCTCTTACAGTAAAGTGTAAAGCAGCCCAGACCCGCTGATCGGCCCATTATTACCGGCAACCGAATCGGGGCCCGTCTCTTGCAATTTCAGCCTGTCATGCTTAAATTGAGAGCATCTGTTCCTGGCCCAGCGATGGCCCAGCTATTCCCTTAATCTTGATTCCCGCTAGATGTGGCCTGTCGGTAGAGGTGGCAAATGGATTGGATTGGTGGATTGGTGGATTGGATTGGTGGATCCATGGATCAAATAGATTGGATCTAATGGATTGGTGGATTCATGGATTGGATCAAGTGGATTGGTGGATTATCCGTGAATCCAAATGAAATTCTCAACCAAGGACCAATATGTAAAATGTAAAAAGTTTAGGTACTAAAATGTCACAATGAAAAATTTTAGGTACCAAAACGTAATTTTCCAATGATATTTTTCGTATAAAACTTAAATTTTATGTACCAAAATGTAAAAAATAAAAATTATAGGTACTAAACCGTAATTTGCCAATGATCCATGGATCCAATCCATGAATCCACCAATCCAATTGGATTTGGATCAAATGGATTGGATTAGGTGGATATTTTTAATGGATTGATGGATTGGATTGGTGGATTGGATTGAAATTGCCACCTCTACCTGTGGGGAAAAATCCAAAACTACCACTGTTTTAAAAAAAATTTACAAAAATACCACCCTCACCAAAGAATTTCCAAAAATACCACCCTTAATTTAAAACCGCGCCTCTAAATGGCGGTTTATTGATAAACCGCGCTCCCAGGCGGCGGTTACAATGTAAAACGCGCTCCCACGGCGCGGTTTGACTGTGCATGGCTGTCAAACCGCGTTGCCACGTGGCGGTGCATCAAACCGCTTGCCCGGGGAGCGATCTAACGGCTAAAACGGCTGCCAACCAAGCGATCCGCGTCCCCCACAGAAACCGCTCCCCCGAGGCGCGGTTTGACCGTTTGGAAAACGCAAACCGTGTCCCCGAGGCGCGGTTTGACCATCGGGAAAAGCAAACCGCGTGGTGGAGGCGCGGTTTTTAGTGGCGAGAAATTACAAAACCGACCCTCCCCCATGCGGTTTGCTGGCTATAAACCCCCCCCCCCCCCCCCCCCCACTTCTGATTTCTGCACACCATCCACCACATCCCCTCTCTCCCTCTAACTTCTCTCCACCCAACCCCTCCCCACCCAACCTTAGAATTGGTTTTTTTGTTGGTTGCGGCCTAAGTCCGATCTGCCTCCAAACAACTTTTCTTTGGTTTTCACTAAAAAACCGTCGAACCTCTGTCCGGATTCCGAGAGAATGGCCGATTTCGCTCAAGAAGAGGGTCTTTTTTATGATGATTATCAAACGGTACGTATTCATTTTTCCCAATTGTTGTTGTTGTTATAATGATTTATTTAATTTATATACTAATGATTTATGTTATTGTTATGCTATCCTAGGTTGGGCCGGATGTTGATATTTTCAATCAACGATATTACGTTGATCAAGGACCGATTGATCCGACAGTTTTATACGATCAAGCAAATCATCGTTCAAGAGACGTTTGGAACGACCATAAGGTACATATTATTTATCATCACTTGTAATTTGTATTTTGTTAAAGTAATTTATTTGTTGTACAATAATTTACATAATTGTTAATCGTATTGATTATTTTCAATAGTTTAAATCAATACAATACAACACTTATTGAGACTCTTTATAAAGAAATGGGGGATCCGAGGATCGCTTAGAACCCGATTTTCCCAGGTCATGGGGGGATCATGATGATCGCTTAAGTCCCCATTTCCTTAAACATGCATTTCTTTATAAAGAGTCTCAATAAGTGTTGTATTGTATTGATTTAAACTATTGAAAATAATCAATACGATTAACAATTATGTAAATTATTGTACAACAAATATACATTATCTAATAAACAAAGGACAATGAAAAGTAATTCAAATTACTAACATAAAATCACAAATGACAATGAAAAGTAATTAAGTTACTAACATAACATCACAAAGGACAATCAAAAGTAATTAAGTTACTAACATAAAATCACAAAGACAATGAAAAGTAATTACGAAACAAACTTACGAATTAACGTTAATCGCAAAAACTAAATAATTTAAAAGTGCAAAGCTGAAATTTGAGGAAGGAAGTGTGAATTGAGGAAGGAAGTGTGAAGAATTGTGTTCTCCGAAACAGCCTTTTATAGGCAAATTTTGCACCAAAACCGCTTGGGGGGGAGCGGTTTTGGGTCTGCCATGCAGCCCTACCCCTGCATGCCGACATGTCGTATGTCGGGTGACCAGGCACAAACCGCGCCCCAGAGGAGCGGTTTGTGTCCTGACAATGTAAACCGCCCCTTCCCCAGGCGGTTTGCTTGCCGACAATAAAACGCTCCCTCTACCAGCGTTTTCTGGTAGGGTTTACCCTATAACCGCGCCTCGCAGAGGCGGTTTACTCCAGAAAATAAAACCGCTCCTCCAAAGAGCGGTTAGATAGGAAAACGCCTCTTAGAGGCGCGGTTTCATTGAAAACCGCTCATCAGGGGGGCGGTTTTAAATTAAGGGTGGTATTTTTGGAAATTCTTTGGAGTGAGTGGTATTTTTGTAATTTTTTTTTTAAACAGTGGTAGTTTTGGATTTTTTCCCTACCTGTGGGTGCTGCTGAAAAATTTGGTCTTGTATGTTCTCCCCTCTTCTTCTTGGTTTTGTGAATAATACGTATAGATCTACTCTATACATGGTAATTAGTACCATCAAGTTTGACAAAGATGATACCGAGAGATTTTCGTTTGGATTGACATAACACGTAGGGATGACAATTATGCCCATACCCATGGGTATTTTACTATCCAACCCAATTGGGTTGGGTATGAAATCCAAATATATGGATATGGGTAAAGTTTGATGGATTTGTACCAATACCCATTTACTTTGGGTTGGGTTGGGTTTATAACAAATGGATTTGGGTTTGTACCCATGCCCAAATACAAATTACAGTTTGGTACCTAAACTTAATAGATATGCATATTTAGTACCTAAATTTGATTTTTTTTGCATATAAGTCCTCAAAATATCGATGGAAAATTACGTTTTGGTACCTAAATTTTTTTGGTCTTACATTTTGGTACCTAAAATTTTCAAGTTTTACAAATAAGTCCAATTTTTGCATGTGTAGTTAAGACACCCTCAAGTAAATGGATATCCATACCCAACACATACCCATTTAGATAATATCTATATCTAACCCAAACCCATACACATATCACCCAAACCCTACCCATAATAGATGGGTCTACTTGGGTTTGGGCAAAATTACCCATGGGTGGGTAAATTGTCATCCCTAATAACACGGATTGATTGCTTGACGTGGTGGTGGTTGAGCAGCTCATGTTGTTTGTGTGCCAATGTCTTCTTGAGTAGCCTCCATGACTAAACATTACAAGGTCACGATAGGTGGGTTGACCCAGAGGCTCTGATACCATGAAAAAATAAAATATTTTTAATTAGGCAACAAAACCACCATGGCCATCACCAAAACATGAACCAAAACGAAACAAGCTCCGTTGCCAGCCCTAACCCACACACTGACTTGATCAGCAGGCTAATAAATGAACTGCGGTTACGTGGGCTCAAAGCCTTAAAACTTTCCATTGAATTAATTAATGCATGTGGCCCAAATTGTTAGGTTTCATCTTGACAAATAAACGAGGACAAGTATTATATTATTATTGTCAAGTTGGGCCGATTTGACGTTCACTTTCATAAGCCCGTTCTTTTAGCACAATCAAGGTTTTATTAGAGTTGTTATTTTTCAATGGTTATTGTCTTTTACTTCTTTTATATCTATTTATCTCGTTCCACTTAATGTGTGTTTGACCAAGATCCACAATATTGTCGAAGAATATGAGTTGCAACTTCATTTTCAGTTGGAATACTATATTCACGATCATTTGATCTCCGATTGACCAAGAGTTTTCTACCTCATAGTTGAACATGATGATTTTTGTCTTTAATACATCTAAATATTTAGACTAAATATTACAAGCATATAACATTTTTTCTTCAACTCGGTCACAACCACTTTCACTTGGTGAACTTTCTAAAATCAAAAGATAAACACAACCACCAAAATCGAACACTTGGTCATCACTAAAACGTGAACCATAACGAAACGAACTATGTAGAGAGGCCGTAGCCCAGCCCACCCCTCTGACTTGTTGAGCAGGCTAATAAATTAAAACGTGGGCTCAACTTTCGGTTGGATTCATTTAATGCATGTGGCCCAAATTGTCAGGTTTTATCTCCACAAACAAATGAGGACAGGTATTATTATTGTCAAAGTCGAGTCGATTTGACGTTGACTTTCATAAGTCCTTTCTTTTAGCACAATCAACTCCAGGAAGCTGACAACAACAGTTGCAGTCAGTGATCCCATTCATATCGAACCAAATATATTTCATACTTTTTAGTTTAAAATTAAAATTTCATATGTTTCAAAAGATATCAAATTAACTATGGTGTACATAATGACATTATTTTGGTATTGAGAACAAAAAGTACTCCAATCGAAATATTTTTTTGCCACATTATACCCTGTTATATGATGGTGATACAAAATATTAATAACATTATGGCAGGAATATATCATATGGATAGGATGATCATGTACATGGCAAGGACGAAGCTTGTGTGTTGATATTTTACAGGAGGTTTTGGCTCCCTGAATTCGGGGTGTGCGACGATTTGGTCAGTACGGAAGCAAATCAACATTTTGATCGGATCATATCAAATTAAATATAATGTGATATGATTTTTGGTCTCATGAACTTTACAAATACTAAAAAGAAATGTACCAAAATAACATTTGAATCAGAGCAAATAAGACCGAATGCATCGTTTTCCAGACAATTGCTCCTAAATTGGAAATGTACAAGATCCAAAAAAAAAAATAGAGGGGGCTGGGCACTCTTGATATGGGGAACCCTAATTAATATCTCTGATTAGATTACTAACGTATTTGTTTCCAAGTTTCTCACGTTAGTCCACCAAAACTCAATCGTTGGCCCTATATCTATATAATTATAGTGCCATAACGTTTAACACTAACACACGACACCGATTCCCATGCTCAACTTTTTTTAGTTAGTGACGGTCCAACTTAATCTCATCCAGATAAGATTGATTTATATATATACATAAAGTAATGTTTGAGAAATCCTATCGTACCGCGGTAAGTAAAATCAATAAAAAATATCAGATACCATAAACCCAAATTATTATGTAGTTTTACCTATAAAAAAAGATTGAACAACCATGATTTTAGTACAAAATACTATACCACTGACGTTTCCAGTACAACCTCCGGTACGGTTTCACAATCGTTTACATCGAATTTAAAAATACCATATTTCTACTAGCAAATTAATGTGATGTTATGTAATATTACACTCAAACAAGGGACATTTGGGCCGAAGAAAGAAAGGCAAGAAGCATTCTTATTCGATTTTATTAAATAACAATGTGCGGGCAACCCAATAATTAGTAATTAACAATCCAGAGCCCCCGACCAATTCACACGTCCCGATACCAAATCCATAGCTAATTAAAGTATACTAATCATCAATTAATAGGAAGTAAGTAACATTAATTTAATTAATAACAACACAAACCGGCTCGCCGGCGGTTTGGGATTTTACTGTAACCGCGAGATGGTGAAGCGGCAGAGCGGGCAGGAATCGCGGTGGTGGAGCCAGGCGGCGAGGCAATCGGCGTGGTACACGTGTCCGCAGCAGGGGACCCTCTTCCCCGGCGCGGCGGCGGTGGCCACCCCTTCCCTGCAGACGGGACAAATAATCCCCTCGTTGTCGCCGCCGTCGAAGGACACGGTCGGCATGCCGGCAACCAGGCTGTCGGCGTCCGCGATCTGCCGGTCCGAATTCCACGGCGCTTTCAGCGCCTCTTCGAGATCGAACCCGCCGGTAGCCGCCACCGCCCCCCAGCTGAGGAACGCCTCCGCGGCGGCGGCGGTAGAGGCGGCAGCGGCGGCGGTGGTGCTATTATTCATCATCGTGGTAATTAGCTCCGACGCCGGCGATGGTGGCAGAGAGATTGGGGGAATTTTGGTGGGTGGGGAGGCAGAGAGGGAAATTAATTGGGTTTTGGTTGATTTGGGTGAACTGTGAATTTTGGATCTTGACTCTATAAATGGATGGAATTTGTGCGTCGAAAATTGGGTGGTTTTTAGGTACAAATTAAGGGTCCCATTTCGGCGGCATTATTTATTTATTTATTTATATATATTGGTCGTTGTAATTATAATTTGCTTTTGACGTAGGCTTTTATTTTGTTTTTGTTATAAAAAAGGAACTTAGTTGCTTTAACTATTACGATCTTGGTCACTCAAGTCCCTCAACTTCAAATTGTAGTCAATTGAGTGCTTATACTTCTAGATTTTGGGACTAACGTACAAAGATTGGTAATTTAGGGTCTAATGAATTTTATGATTAATTTGTTTTTATCATGGACTTAATTATCTTGTATGGAACCTGATCATAGTGATGATATATATTGTAGACGAAAGGGTTTTCTTTTTATAAGTAGGATATTATTTATCTTTTGGGTTAAACTATGGAAAACAAACTAGTTTCTTTTCTATATGTATTTTTACCGTGGGAAGAACTACTTGGCATAGCTAACTTGAGTTGTTGGAAGTTGTTCAAATATTAATCTTATACTCATTCATTTACAATAATTTAGTCCCAACGACTGCAAGTTGTTGGGAGAAGTTTGATAAAAGATCTTATATCATTTAATTTACTTATAAGCCTCTCTCAAACGAAAGTAGTTCATGGGCTTAAAGTTCGCACATGATTACCGTAGCAAAGTGCTTAATCAACTGTTCATATTTGGGACCATCAGGATTCGAATACGAGATTACTTGGTCAAAAGCCTCAAAGGCTACGCTGTCATATCCAAATCCAATTAGGTTAAATAATTCGAGTTGTTAAGAGATATACACGAATATATTTATATCATTTTTTTTCAATTACGAGACGCGCGTACTTGCACGTTAATGGATTAAAAAATACGCAAATCTTCGACCATAGTTCAAAATATGAAAGTTGCGCTTGAGGTACTAGAAAGACATTTTAGCCATTATTTTCTGTAGCAAAATTTATGTTTGCACACATGTATGTAAGAAATTAATGTGTCCTTTAATGATTGAATTTTGCTTTCACAATCTTGAATTTTTTTCTTCCTCTGTTAACTTTTGCGTTCTTTTATTTTGTCCAAATTCCATCGAGACCGTAATCCCATTTGGCTGAGTCAACAAGAAGAAGAAGAAAAGACCAAAATTGTCCTCCCTTTTGAATCTTATTTTGGGTTACTACCCCCAAGTGGCGGTGATTCGTGCTTGCATTTAGGAGTTAAAAAAAGCACCCAAAAAAGAAGTTTAGCTCCATCCATGCAAACACGACAAGCTAAGCTAGCATAGCAATAAGCCAAAGAGAAGGTTACCTCCAAGCTACAATAATATAAAGCCTAAAGTGGATGTGGCTAAAGTTGTAGCTTTTGATTCTCAATCACTAGTTTAGGAAATCTTGGACCTAAACGTAAAATAATGTTGTGCATTATTCGAATAGTTGAATTATTAAGATTAATTGGTTTTTGACGTTGTTATATAAGATTTTTCGTTGAAAGATTACGATTTGAATCTTATACAGGCTTCATTAGTATTGTTTAATTGATGCACACATATACGATGAGACTGTGAAATCTTCAAATCGAATGGGTTTCATCGGAAGCATGTGATTGGGTGGGTAAACTTCGCAATTGCAAGCAATTGAATCAATATATCGTTTCTCTTGGACACATTTGATGTATTTAAGTGCAATTACAACTTCGCATGCTAACTAAATTGCATCAAACGTATGGAATCTCAAATATTTGGAGGTACAAAGTATTTAGATCCCAACGTATCTTTTTCACTTTAAATATGTGGTATATAAATAACATCAGTTTACAAATACACCGCAACCGAACCATACGTATTGTCATAAACCGTTTCGTCCCAACTCCCAATAACACGAGTTGTTGGGAGAGGTTCATGTGCGGATTTTAATCGCTTCCTTAATCACACGCCCCTCAAATGAAAATCAACATATGGGCGTGAAGTTTGGTCAAATTCGTCATACCATGTGCTTTAAATGAACTCTTGATACTATGAGTCATGATGACTTATACACATGACATCACGATCAAATCAGCTCTAACAATATCATATTATAAACCGTCTGATCTCAATAACTCTAATCGTTGGAAGAGATCCATGTATCTATGTTAGCTACTTCCTTACTCTTATCAAACTACAAAAGGTGGGACATTCCTGATAACTTGCAGAATGCATGCAAAAAAATGTTAGGCCTGGCTTATAAGTTATAACCGCATGAAAAGGAAATATGCTTTCGCTTGGAGATCGCCGGTGCCTGTGCTTTTACAAATGATTGCGTTTCTGCGTTATAGATGATCCAATAAAAGAAAACGTGCTTTTGTTTGGCGCCGCATAATCGTGGCCGGTGTTATAATCACATGACAATTACAGGCAATTAGGAAATCCACGTTTTGGTTTATATAACAGATTGGTCATTACATTACGTACATGACGAACCAAAAGGGTTTTATATCGCTAACCAAAAACTTAGACCATATATTGAGTCTAAGAGCTAGCCTCTAAGTTACTACTAGCTGGTTAAGTTCTTAGGTTGGCTGACAATGAAACCATATGCATGTTCAATAGTTAGATTGGTGCGTTAGAGAGTGGTGCACCCTGATTCGCGTTCAGATCCGTAGCAAAGTCATAAATTTGAATAAAACGAACTAAAAAATTCTAAGATCGGAAGAGAGATAAATTCTCACTAACCACTGTTTTCCGAATCTGTTACAAACTATACATGTAATTTTACCTGTATTCCAAATCTGCGGTGGTGCAAATATATAATAATGCCTACATTCAACCCAGCTCCGGTCCGCCACTGGTCCAGACCGTCGCTCGGTGGTTTGAGAATTGGAGTGCGAATATGGTTGAAAAAATTTCAGGCTATACATTTAGGTTTCGTACAACACGCGTAGGCTAAAAACGTCTCAGCCTGATAGCCTCTCTGTTTTGCACGCTCTCGTTTTTTGCTACTTAGTTCTCGCGCGCGTATCGTGCTAACTACATAAAATGGAAAGTATTCCGAACTTACATTTTACTAGTGATATCGAAACTTGTCTTAGTTAGAACGAATTATTATGTCAAATATCCAAAGACAGTATTACTAGATCAAGTTGTTATGATTGAAGATACATGTTTTCAAAATAACTTATTAAGAAGAAGAAAAAATTACATTAGTGAACACAATCAATCACACATTTAATAAGCTAGGTCTCTATTCAACTAATTAAGATGAGACTAATAACTAATTTCCCCCTTCAGCATCCAGGTGGGGCCCATTTTCTATAAGTCGTTCGGTCGGCCGCGCGCCGACTCATTTCCGGTCACGCCCGGCGGAGATGCTGGCGCGGCAGAGAGGGCACGAGCCGTCGCCGGAGTTAGAGAGCCAGGAGGAGATGCAAGCCGCATGATACACGTGGCCGCACGGCACTCTCTTACCGTTGTTCTCCTGGGGCGGGAATCCTTCCCGGCAAATAGGGCACAGATAATAACCGTCGGACGGAACGACGACGACGGCCGCCGGCAGGCTGTCGACCAAGGAGTTGGATTCGGCGACCTGTCGGGGGATGTCGGCGGGGAGGCACAAGGCTTCGTCTAGATCGAAGCAGTGATCTATCAGACACCGCGTCGTCGTGAGGATCCCGCCGGACGACGTCGGAGGTGTGGCGTCGTCGGTGGCCATGGTGCGTATGGGATTTTCATTTGGGGATGAGGATGAGGACGAGGGGATATTTATGGCGGAAGGTTGAGGTGACGCACACGATTAATACTCGGCGGTGCAATAATAATAATAATTTATGGCGGAAAGATTGATCTCAATCAGTCGAGTTGGGTCGTGCTTCTCAAATTTCAACTTAAGTTATTCGGTGTATATATTCATCAATTAAATCCAGTAAAAAATAATAATCTAATCGAATCCAATAGGTACCACCTGTGGAGTCTATAGGTATCGATGAGTTCATGAATATAAAGACTAATAATATCCATATATATTATTATGACCATAAATTGCCGTATAAACTAATAACATCTATAAGTTATTCATATTATTAATATAAAATACAAAACGAATTCGCTTTGCTTTTTGGGCAGGTCGGGTGGAAATTGGGTTGAGTTTTGGACAATTGCCCCAAATCGACATGTCAGATTGGATACTTATAAATTTGAATTCAGATCTACATATCGGGTTGGGTACCTATAGATTCCGGTTCAATTGTCATCCTTGGTTATGTTTGTCCTTCTTCCATTTGGTACAAAATGGACTCAACCGGTTATTCCAAATACCGTCATACACCAGCGAATCTGTGGTAAGAAGTTGGAGCCATGCATTAATTCCTGAATCTTGACCAGGAAGAAAATCAGCAACACATGCAATTCTTCTGTCAGAAGACTTGAACGAGACCAACATTTATACTAGCTAGCTAGTCCAAAAATAGTGACGAAAGTACAACGTAAATATGTGTGATCGAAATACCATATTATTATGACTATACTATCATAAAAATTAATAACATTTATATCTAGATATTCATATTATTAATATAAGATACAAATTAAAATGAATTTACTTTCCTTTTTGGGCACAGGTCGGGTGAAAATTGGGTTGGATTTTGACAAAAATCCGCACTCGACCAACTCACCAACTCCAAAAGTGCGCAAAATCCGAACCGATCCCAACATTGGATTTTCCCCCGATTTGACCCTGATCGACATGTCGAGTTGGGAACCCATAGCTTCGAGTTCAATTGTCATCCTTAGATATATATGTTTGTTCTTCTTCCATTTGGTACAAAATGGACTCAATTGGTTCTTCCATTTGTCAATATTATTGTTTCATTTATGTAATGAAACCGGATGGGATAAAAGGTTGCTTTCCAATAAATAAATAAATAAATATGTCGTACATCATAAAATATAGTAAGAAGTTAGAAATCTTCATAACACATAAATGGCCATGCATGAATTCTTTGACGGGGAAGAAAATCAGCAACACAATTCTATATTCTTCTGTCAGAAAACTTGAGCGAGTCATCGAAATACCGAATCAACGTGAATCGTTGCAACATAATCTATCAGTAGAACTGGTGTTATTATTGTATATATATGAATATGAATATGACTGTACTTGGAACGTAGTCAGCCAAATCTTTGGTCAATCTTTCTTGAGAGAAAAGTCAACGCCAACATCCTTGCCATCAGCTGATTTTGGAAGGGAAAATGAAAGAAAGAAAGAAAGAACAGATTGATGAGTGGCCCACCGGCATGTCAACTTGCTTGTGTTGTTATGTGTCCAGAAAATAAATTATAGGGATGGAAAAGATGGAGATCGTTAATGGAGACGGGTGCAAAGTCAGCGATGGTGCGTAGCTACAAGATCATCACTAGCTTGGGGTCAAGAGGTGAAGATATGCCTAGTTACTTAACCGATATAATTTTTTAGTGGTTCGATTTTCGGTTAATTGATTTTGTTAAGTGGTTAATCAATGAAGTGCCCATTGGTATAACCACGTTTATTGGGATTTGGCTAAGAAAAAAGTCTCGAGATTCAAAACCAACTGAAATCATAATTCCAACCATCACAGTTAATTACCACCTATTTCAAACAACTCTCCACCCAATGTGTCAAAAGTTAGGACCCTAATTAAAGTCATCCCTATTTAATTCCCCTTTGTAGTCGACAAAGCGAACCTCGCACACTAGCGGTCTATGATTTGGAAACAGGTTATCTGCTGTTGAGTGAAAGTCACATGGTCTCGCCACGGTGTATGGGCTTATAAACATTTGTATGTCTGTTTTGGGTATGGTCTATGACCTTTTCTTTCCATTGTTGGATTAGGTTAGACCGTATGGAGAAGATACTATATATACCTTCTCAATCTCTGTAATATGTATTTCCTTAAATTAATATAGTAAAACCGCTCTCTCCTGGCCGTGGACATAGCTAGCACACATCTTGTTAGTAACCACGTAAATTTGTGTATTTTTTTTTTTTTTTACTTTCTTGCAATGTCGATTTCTCTATCCGTTCTAAAATTCATGTTTAAGAATGAGGTGATCTTGTGGCTGATGTCTTGTTGGTTGATACTTGCTACTTGGATGAATATGTTTGATTATTTTTAATTACATGTGTTTGAATTTGAGTTGTGAATTCACAACGAATATCATATTATATTGATGTTATTTCTTATAATTATTATTTTATGTTAACAATATATATACAAGTATAGTTAAATTATTTTGATTCATGTGTATGATTGTACTATATTGTTAAAAGACACAACAAATAAAACTTAAAATAACAAAAGAAAAACGTCAAGTATGGAGGTTGTTACTGGTCAATCGTTAAACTCCAAATCAGTGGCGGAGGCAGGATTTGAAACTAATTTTATCCTTTTTTCGTATTATAAATATGTAAATATTTAATAAATATAATTAAATTAATAATATATAAAAATTAACGACTAATTCAATCGGTATTCTCATAAACAACCATTACGAGTTTTCATCTACTGAAAGAAAAAGTGTTACACATCATGTCTAAACCAACGAATTCTCTTGCCGAGAAAGAGAGGTGTATATAACCATAAAAAATGAGAAGTGTATAAGCATAAAATCTGTTTTATACCTGGGCGTCGGACCAACTGATGTGCGAAAACAATGTCGTCAGAACCGAACCGAAGCATGATCCGCTAATGCGAACGGCTCGCACTTTAGTGGTCCAACTGACATTAGCTAGACCGTTTAAAAACGTTAGAGAACCGGTATCTAATAAACGTTATCAGTATAAATAGTGGACATTTCTTAATCAAAACTCGTCTCTTTCCTTCGAAATTGTGAAATGGAAATAAGGATTCAGTTTGAGAGCCCGACGTTTTTGGTTTATTTCAATTTTCTGCAATTTTTTTAATTAAATTTAATTGCTGAATAGCAAAAACCGGACGAGCGGCTTGATCGACTCGAGTGGTTAACCGCATCGACCGCTCGTCAACCACTACATAAAACCGGAGCAGGTTTAGACAATTCCGAGACAGTTTTGTTACCGGGTGGCGGTTTTACCGGTCGGGCCGAGCGGGTCGGCTCGGCTTTAATGACACTGCCGAGAAAACAGTAGTGTAGTTCGGTTTGGGCTCAAAAACTTTCTGTCTCATGGCTTACAATATCTGGCTGGTTTTTGTAAAGACTAAGATAGGGTCCAACTACCGCCATTTAGGCCTATGGGCCCAGTCTCGGCCTGAAATCTAGTTGGGCTGGACTCGCTCCTCCATACCTTGGTAATTTTGTTAATTTTGCTTTTAATGGTTCCATCCTTAAACTTTGCAAAAAGTTTAAAATGGTCCACTATTTAGATGTTGAATTTATGAAATCAATCCACGAACTCACCAAACTTTTTTTTCCCATTTAATCCACTAATTCATAAATCAATCAATCCAATAATTCATAAATCAAATCAATTTGTCACCTCTACATATACCTCTTAATCGATTATGGTGCTTACATTGTTAGATTTTGTATAACATAACTCCCAATTTTTAGATATGCATACAATTGATGATTGATTCTAGTAATGGCAATGGGGCAGGTTCGGGGCGGGTATCTCGATACCCATACCCACCTCATGGCAGGTCGGGTCCAGATCGGGTAATTTATCACGGGGCAGGTCAACCCAATGGGTATGTAATTTATGTGAAAAACATTAGAAATATTCGTTCTTTTCATTGAAAGACCAAGAAAGAAACCATAATATGATAAAATGTAGTTAAATTATTGAAGAAATTGAGGTTTTCACTTATTTACAACTTTATTATAGCTAAAATATAATGTAATAAGAGGAAAATCTTAAGCAATTTGACCAAGATTATATGTAATTTATGCAAGAACAGGTCGATAATGGGACAGGGCAGGTCGATGAGAAGTACACATGCCCGCCCCGTTCCGTCTATGGAACTGATTTGGCCCGCCCCAAAACAGACCAAACAAGTCACGTAAATCGGGTCGGACCAAAATTGCCATTCATAATTGATTCACATCCATCAAACCTACGAAAAGTACCGTGTCCAACCAAATCTGTTTGAACCTAACTGTGTGTAGGAGTGAGGTTCGGTGAAAGAGGTGGGTCAAGAAGAGTAAGCAAAGGGGAAAATCTACGATCTCGCGGGTCACGGGGATTGGGGGAACGAGAATGAGAGGATGAAATCGAGAGCCTCCGAGTCTTAGAGAGAGAAGTTGATGTTTATAGAGATAGAATGTTCAGAAATGCGATCCCCCTCACCCACCGTAGTAAATGCCATATTTATATATAGGCTACATGATGGTGGGTGAGTGGTTGACTCATGTGAGGATACAATGATGTGACTACTGACAATCTTAGGGATTTTAGGCCATGCTTCTACCTAGGATGTGTCAGAGACCTGTCTAGGGCCCTGATGTGACTACCCTCTGGGGAGGGGAGCTACGCTTTCCTCATCCCTTCGGTCTGGTCTACGCTATGACCTTCCTCCGTGCGTGCGACCCGTTCCGCGCCTAGGCTTCTCGCGCCGGGACGTGGTAAACCACGCTGGGGTGTCGCGCTTGGGATCTTCGCGCCACCATGTCGGAGGGTCTTGTGGTCGCGACGTGTTCCTTAGCGCGGCTAGGTCCGAGTCATATGCCCAACAAAATCCATACCTCTTGACAAAGAAAAAT